AATATCATACAGTTGAAACAATCATGGAAATCCACCAACTAAATCGAAAGTTATGAACCTTTTAAAAATGACAAATAACTGTTAGGACCATGCTTTAGATTTCTCTATAGACTTGCCCATAGACTAGTATGAAATTCAGTTCATAGACTAGTTTATATACTAGTCCATAAAATAGTTAATAGATTAGTCAATAGTGTATTCAACCGATTAGTTTATAATTAATAAACCAGTGCTAGTAAATATACACATCTATCAATCGAATAGTCCGTTGATTAATTGTGGCGTGTTATAATAACCAATGTAAGGTGATGTGTCATAATGTCCATGGACTTTATGTCACACCAAAATGAGGGTGGCGTGTCATATTGTCCATAGACCTTATGACACACCTTAAAGCGACATAATGTCCATGGGCATTATGTCACTTTTATAAAATGTCATAATGTCCATGGACATTGTGACACTTTTAAAACAGAAATGTATTGGAATTTTTTTTTTTGAATTTAAGAAAGGGACACACTTATCCCGAAAAGAATTGCTCTAAATGTGGTATATGTTGCATTTTGGATTCCTTTTAAAAAGTGTCCTGGATAGCAGGCCTTCGGCCGGGCGCAGGGGTTTCAAACTCTGGGGAATTTCAAATACCGGCTTCGCTAAAATAAGCCTTTTTTTGGATAAATGGACTCTTTGAAATCCATGGACTTTCTGTCGCATTGCTCTTGGACATTGTGACACTTTTGAAATTGTCATTATGTCCATGGACATTATGACTCAATTTAGTGTGTCATAAGGTCTATGGGCATTATGACACACCATCCAAAATGAGTTATGGTTTCCCTGGATTTTATAACACTTTCAAAAGTGCTATAATGTCCATGAAGATTTTGTGACACTTTTAAAACATAAATGTTCCAAGTTGTTTAGGATTTAAGAAAGTTGCACTCATATCCCGGATAGAATTGCTCGTAACTTTGGTGTATGTTGTATTTTGGATTCATTTAAAAAGCTGTCAAGTGAAAGGCAACTCCAAAAATGCTTTTATAATGCAACACCAAAGACAACGTGAAAAGAAGGTGTAAAATATTTAAAGCTCATTTAGTGTTTTTTTTTTTCATACATGTTTTTTTTTCATACGTATTCATGTTGTACGGTTTGTAACATAATTTAATAAAATCCTACTTTACGGACGAACATAGTTAGATCGCGTTAGAATCTTGGACTCATAAGACTCATAAGTATCTGATATTAAAGACAATTGTATTTAAATCAAATCAAACTAATACTGAAGTGTACAAAAAATTCGACCTTTATCATATTTTATTTTTCATGTGTAAATGAAACGAATGAATGAAATGAATGAACTGAACTGAAGACCCCATAATACATATATTAACTGTTTGATTTTTAATATAATTTTGTATTTATCTTCTTTTACTTTTAAAGTTTGGCTTCAATCAAAATGTTTGATGTTATTGTTGGTCTTTAATATTGGCGGTGGTAGATGAAGAATTAGCGATAAATTGATGAATTGTAGTTGGAGCTGTTTTGTTGCTATTTCTTGTGGTGTTGCATATATATGTATGTATGTATGTTTTGTTATTAGCCCTGTTCTTGTATTAATGTACTTCGAATACCAAAAGTATGGTCGAAAAATCGGTAACTATAGGGCTGTTTAAAATTCATAATGGAGGAAGTCTTATCTCAGTTATTAATGGTCCCTTGTTTTGGATATTACTTTCAGACGGTAATCTTAACCAATGCATAAAGAGACAAATATTGTTAAATCGAAAGGACAAATAGAAAGAGTAAAACGAATTACAAATGCAATAACAAACTTATCACTCTGATATAGGGTATTTTAACAAACAATATGTGAGAATATGCTTTAAGGCTTAAATTCATAAAAAATAAGATGAACAAAAAAACCACCAACAACATTTTTTTAAAAACATTACAAATATATGCAGAGAAAATAACGATGATGATGACCGACAATGATGGTGATAATGATGATTTTGACTAAAAAACGTTGGTGGCATTGCAAATGAATAGAGAGCCAACAATAACTATCACCATCAGGCCGTTGCTGAAAGAAGTATTTTTGTATGTGAACACAAACTTATGTACATATGTACATTGTACATATAAATTGTGTTGCAAAAGTGGAAAATAATTTAAGAAAGTTAAGTTGTTGAATGCTAATTTTTGTGTATTTTTTTCTTCTCTCCGCATATTTGTTGCTGGTGTGGAATGGATGATAAATCTTCCATGTTTATAGTGTTAAGAGCATACAATTTTGGGGTTTTTCTTAAAAGGACATGCCAAAGAACGTGGGATTGGAATAAGAATGTTTAACAAAATTCTAACTTATGGTTGTTATTGAAATTTTTCTGTTCAATTTATATTTAAATATTTTTGTCTTTAGTGTACAAAGTCCAACAAGTGCGGATGTATAAGAAAAAAAAAAAAAGAAAAGAATAACAAGACGCACAGTAATGTGAGCTATGGGTTGGGTCTGACCGTGAAAAACTGTAGAAAATGTTTCCTAAGTGATACATATGGTAACAGTATCGACTACAATGGTAGGTGTAACTAACTAACTAACTAACTAACTAAGTAACTAACTAACTAACTAACTAACTAACTAACTAACTAACTAACTAACTAACTAACTAACTACTACTAACTAACTAACTAACTAACTAACTAACTAACTAACTACTAACTAACTAACTAACTAACTAACTAACTACTAACTAACTAACTAACTAACTAACTAACTAACTAACTAACTAACTAACTAACTAACTAACTACTAACTAACTAACTAACTAACTAACTAACTAACTAACTAACTAACTAACTAACTAACTAACTAACTAACTAACTAACTAACTAACTAACTAACTAACTAACTAACTAACTAACTAACTAACTACTAACTAACTAACTAACTAACTAACTAACTAACTACTAACTAACTAACTAACTAACTAACTAACTAACTAACTAACTAACTAACTAACTAACTAACTAACTAACTAACTAACTAACTAACTAACTAACTAACTAACTAACTAACTAACTAACTAACTACTAACTAACTAACTAACTAACTAACTAACTAACTACTAACTAACTAACTAACTAACTAACTAACTAACTAACTAACTAACTAACTAACTAACTAACTAACAACTAACTAACTAACTAACTAACTAACTAACTAACTAACTAACTAACTAACTAACTAACTACTAACTAACTAACTAACTAACTAACTAACTAACTAACTAACTAACTAACTAACTAACTAACTACTAACTACTAACTAACTAACTAACTAACTAACTAACTAACTAACTAACTAACTAACTAACTACTAACTAACTAACTAACTAACTAACTAACTAACTAACTAACTAACTAACTAACTACTAACTAACTAACTAACTAACTAACTAACTAACTAACTAACTAACTAACTAACTAACTAACTAACTAACTAACTAACTAACTAACTAACTAACTAACTAACTAACTAACTAACTAACTACTAACTAACTAACTACTACTAACTAACTAACTAACTAACTAACTAACTAACTAACTAACTAACTAACTACTACTAACTAACTAACTAACTAACTAACTAACTAACTAACTAACTAACTAACTAACTAACTAACTAACTAACTACTAACTAACTAACTAACTAACTAACTAACTAACTAACTAACTAACTACTAACTAACTACTAACTAACTAACTAACTAACTAACTACTAACTAACTAACTAACTAACTAACTAACTAACTAACTACTAACTAACTAACTAACTAACTAACTAACTAACTAACTAACTAACTAACTAACTACTAACTAACTAACTACTAACTAACTAACTAACTAACTAACTAACTAACTAACTAACTAACTAACTAACTAACTAACTAACTAACTAACTAACTAACTACTAACTAACTAACTAACTAACTAACTAACTAACTACTAACTAACTAACTAACTAACTAACTAACTAACTAACTAACTACTAACTACTAACTAACTAACTAACTAACTAACTAACTAACTAACTAACTAACTACTAACTAACTAACTAACTAACTAACTAACTAACTACTAACTAACTAACTAACTAACTAACTAACTAACTAACTAACTAACTAACTAACTACACTACTAACTAACTAACTAACTAACTAACTACTAACTAACTAACACTAACTAACTAACTAACTAACTAACTAACTAACTAACTAACTACTAACTAACTAACTAACTAACTAACTAACTAACTAACTACTAACTAACTAACTAACTACTAACTAACTAACTAACTAACTAACTAACTAACTAACTAACTAACTAACTAACTAACTAACTAACTACTAACTAACTAACTAACTACTACTAACTAACTAACTAACTAACTAACTAACTAACTAACTAACTAACTACTACTAACTACTAACTAACAACTAACGAACGAACGAACTAACTAAAGTGAGAGATGAAAATCGAGAGCATTATGCAATGTGTTCCGGAATCAGAATGGTATCTTGATTGAAAGTTTGCAACTGCTGGAAATACCACTTTAGTCAAGGTCAATCCTTACAATGTTTTGATTAAGAACTTCTTATGGGATCGAGCAGTCCGATAATAAACTTAAATAACTATTGTTTTGTTCGTCTTGGCAATGTCAGAGATGTTGTTTTTTCGCCCTCATATTTCGAGCGATTTGTGAGATACAGCGAAAACCATCAACAAATTAAAGTACAACAGTACTGAGAGCCAGGCGCAGCAGCCTCGTAGATGAGTTCATAAATTAAAGAAAAACTGTAAAGTTTTGTTTGCCTCAACAAAAAAAGGTTTAAAACTCAAATGAATATGTATCATCCGTTTTTACGAAAGATCCCTGCTCGTTATATTTCTTTCTTTTACAGCCTTAATGATCATTTTAACAGTTAACAACTCACCTGATTGCATCTCAACCACAATAGAATCGTATGCGGATAACGAAGTGGACCTCCCAAACGATTGCCACCAGGTTGTTGACGTTGTTCGTTTAATTTTGAACTTAACGTTTGACCAGTTTGTTGATAAAATTCAATGGCTCTGAAAATACATGAAGAAAAGAAGATAAATTAAAGAACTTAAGAAATATTATGTAAATTATTTGTTGTTTAGTTTTTGAATAAAAAAAGATAAATAAATAAACAAGAAACAAAACATTGTAAATTAACTAAAACATATTAATTAAATTGGCTGACAAGTGTTGGTTGGAGGCAAAAATAAAGATTTTTATTTGTTTTGTTTTAAAGAATGACAATATGATTTTTAGTACCCTACAGTAGGATATTAAAACTTTTAGATACATGGGTTATAAGTTAATATATATACTTAGTTGCCCTTATTAAAACTTGATACTTTTGGTTGATCTTGCAATGTTGTGTTTAAGGCAAACAAATAGTTGTGTGAATAATTTGTAAACTTTTCAAAATAAGTTTAATTTAGGGTACAAAATTATTTTTATGACAATCAATTTTAACAATTTATTTAATTGCAACAAATACATGACTAAACTTAACATGCTTCTTCTTTAATGTAATAAAATATGTTATTTAAAGAAATAATAATACCAACGAATACAATTTTGTATTTCGTTTTTTTTTTCTTCTTAAAATGAAATGAAAAATATATTTTAAATGACGTCTTTACATAAAATTAAATAAGTATGACAAGTCAACAAAAAACATCATTAAAAACACATAAATTTCAATTTTTAAGTTGGTTTTTTTACTTCTAAACTTTTGAGGAAAAAAAGCGAAACAAATTACACAATTAACACAAAAATATAAAACAAATAAACAAAATCAATTTTTAGCTACTTTTAAATAAGAACAAATAAAACATTTTTAAAGTAGAAAAAATAAAAGAACATTCGATGACAAAATATTTGGTTTCTAAATAGAAAAACATGTCCGCCCTTTATAGCCCCATACACAGTCAAATGTCAATCAATTGGCCCAACATAATGAAACAACAACACACTCCCTCATGTTTAATTTTGTTTAAGAAATTTTACAAAATTTTGTTGTGATGGTTTTCAAAAGATTCCCTTAGGCAAGGTACATGAGACTCTATACATTTTTGACTTTTCCTGTCCAAATTTGTAAATTTGTAATTTATTATGATTTTTTGTTAAAGAATTTGTTACAATGTGTCTTCGGTTTATAAAAATTAAAAAAGAAAAATATTTGTGTAATTGAAATAAATTTTCCTGTTGGAGGAAATGACAAAACATGTTGTTATTAGACTAATTAAAATATTTCAAAGCACTGGTTGAGAAATTTTAATTTAGAAGCTGACAGTGTCTCTATTTCATATACATATGGTTTGACCGATTATTCCTATATTGGGGAAAGGGGCTTACATAAATATAATTATTACAACTAACATGGTTCAAAAGGCAATAAAGGGTTTTGTACCCTATAAAGCTATATTACTGTATAATACCTTCCTGGCTCTCTTGCAGATAGAGGCGTTACTGGTTAACCTTTTTTATAATAAAAATTTCTTTATATTAATTAAATTATATAAAATTTATTCTTAATCACTTTATATGTTTTAAAATCCTTGATTTCTACCTTTCAATTATAAAATTGTAATCTTGAAATCTTTTTTTCCTCATAAAAAATATTTTTGTTTTACTTTTTATTAAAGAAAAACTAGGTCACTGTGCTAACGATTTTATACCGCGTTTTTATGCTGTGACTTGTAATGTAAATATTTTATTTTCAATGCTGCACCTTGTTGCATATATATCTGCATATATTTTTCTATGAAAAAATCATATAAACTTCATTCATGGTGGTTTCATTGTCTACATAACAACAACAACAACAACAGTGTGGCCAAAATTCCCTTTAAGCATTAATTTGTTACAAATTGTTTTAAATTTATACCACCTCGCCTCTCTCTCACCCACTCACGTAACACTTTGTATCCTACACTATTATAATAAGAAGGACGTAAAGCATCTGTGCTGTTGTATGTAACATTTAAAAATTAGTAACCTATACTCCCCTCAAAGTTGATCTAGAAATCATTTCTAAAACAACTTTGCACATTTCATCTGTCCATCAAATTAAAAGTCTAAATTTCGAAAATTAAACATAACTAGTAAATGATCTTCCTTTGACATAACACTAATGTTTATTAAATTGGTGCATAATTTCACATAATCCCTATAACAAAAGTCTCCCGAAACATGGGGTTAATTAGTTCGCATACAAAACCAGTTTTCGGATACAATTCCTACTTTTAAAAATAACTACATAACGGTGTAGCGTACTAAAAAGTCGACTACACATTCTCACCTACTCATATCGTTTTTGTCTGATCTGTATGGAAACCAGGCATGGAAAATTTTAAACTAACTAATAACAAAAATAGTACTTAGATAGACTAGACTAGACTAGACTATAGACTAGACTATAGACTATAGACTACTATAGACTATAGACTAGACTATAGACTAGACTATAGACTAGACTAGACTAGACTACTATAGACTAGACTATAGACTAGACTATAGACTAGACTATAGACTAGACTATAGACTAGACTATAGACTAGACTATAGACTAGACTATAGACTAGACTATAGACTAGACTATAGACTAGACTATAGACTAGACTATAGACTAGACTATAGACTAGACTATAGACTAGACTATAGACTAGACTATAGACTAGACTATAGACTAGACTATAGACTAGACTATAGACTAGACTATAGACTAGACTATAGACTAGACTATAGACTAGACTATAGACTAGACTATAGACTAGACTATAGACTAGACTATAGACTAGACTATAGACTAGACTATAGACTAGACTATAGACTAGACTATACTAGACTATAGACTAGACTATAGACTAGACTATAGACTAGACTATAGACTAGACTATAGACTAGACTATAGACTAGACTATAGACTAGACTATAGACTAGACTATAGACTAGACTATAGACTAGACTATAGACTAGACTATAGACTAGACTATAGACTAGACTATAGACTAGACTATAGACTATAGACTTGACTATAGACTCGACTATAGACTAGACTATAGACTAGACTATAGACTAGACTATAGACTAGACTATAGACTAGACTATATGTATTTAACATAAACGAAGTCTGTGAGGAAAATGCGTGTTTTGTATATGCAACTATAAATGGCATGCGAATATACAGCTGTTACTTTCCGCCAAGCATGAATACTGAAACTTTTACTGAACATTTGGATAAACTTGATATGAGCATAAGATCTACAAAAGGAAAAATTATAATAGGCGGGGATTTCAATAGCAAATCGCCCGAATGGAACTCAAAAACATTGGACAGAAGAGGAAATCAACTAAGTGAACTTATTGCATCACTAGGACTTATAGTATATAACAACGGCAACTCTCCAACATTCAGAGGAGGAAGAGGAAGTAGTATCATTGACATTACTTTTGGAAGTCCCGATCTCTATAATCATGCTATGGAATGGAAAGTACTAGACGATATTACATTAAGCGATCATCAGTATATATCATTTAATATTGATAGAAATAACATCTCTCAAAATGTTGAACTGAGTCTTCCCAAATGGAACGTGAGAAAAATGAATAAAAACAATTTCAATAATAAGATGCTACAAATAAAAGAGTCGAGTACTTTAAATCACACTGATGTAAAGAGCACAGTCAACAAAATGACAGTTTTTATCACAAAGTGTTGCAATGTTAGTATGCCAAAAGTTAACCAATATAATAAAAATAAGAGTCCAGCTTTCTGGTGGACTCCGGAGATTAAACAACTGAGAATAGAATGTTTACACGCGCGGAGAATGGCAACACGAAACCATACAGATGAGACCCTTGTTGAACAATATAGGAAACTAAGGAAACGGCTTAGAATGGCCATTAGAAATAGCAAAAAGAACAAATGGAGAGAATTGTGTAGTTCTATAGATAATGACCCGTGGGGAAAACCATACAAGATAATTACAAAGAAAATATATACGAGAAAACCTATACCCGGCATTACAGAACCAATGTGGGCAGCTAAAATTGTAGCGAAACTATTTCCGACAGATATACAGGGACAAACATGTAGCCCTAAACTGCAAACTCAAAACGATTTTTTGCCTTTTGATATTGAAGAGATAACACTTGCATGTAGAAAATTAAAAACTGGGAAATCCCCGGGTCCCGACGGAATACCAAACGAAGCCATTATACTAACAGGACAACTTTGGCCTGAATTGCTGCTAGATGTTTACAATACATGTTTCAGAAATGGTGTTTTTCCAAAATGTTGGAAAACGCAGAATTTAGTTTTGCTGCGTAAAGGGAATAAACCATTAAATGAGCCAAGTTCATACAGACCATTGTGCATGATAAACACATTAGGAAAACTATATGAAACTTTATTATTCTCTAGACTTCAAGAAGAGATAAAACAACACGGTGGGTTGTCCCCCAACCAATTCGGTTTCCAAAAAGGAAAAAGTACAGTGGGAGCCATAAAAGCAGTAACAGATATGGCAATAGTTGCAAAGAAAACAAAAGGATTTTGTACAATCATCACACTGGATATAAAAAATGCGTTCAACACTGTAAAATGGAAAGTAGTACTGGATTCCTGCAAAAAGAGGGGAATAAGCAGCTTTCTATATAACATAGTGGCAGACTATTTACATGATAGAACACTCATGTACAGAACAGATATCGGAATAAGAGAATATAATATCACTGCTGGTGTTCCGCAGGGATCGGTTTTAGGACCTCTCTTATGGAACATCATGTATGATGGTCTACTAAACATTGAGTTACCAAAAGAAGCCCAAATCATTGGATATGCCGATGACGTTGCTCTTGTCATCTCCCATACGTTGCCACAAGCACTGGAAATTATAGCAAACGACAGCCTTAACCGATGCGATCTGTGGCTATACAATCACGGACTTAAAATGGCCCCTGAGAAAACAGAGGCAATATTAATCACTGAACGCAGGTTATTCAAAATGCCGGAAATAAGAATTCAAAGTAAAAA